CACACCCTGGAAATCTTTTTAGTCTTTAAGGTGTTACTGGACTCAAAGCCGGCTCTTCTCGTCCATGAAACTCAGTGGGTAACCTCGGGCCAGGTGCACTCCCTCAGCCTCTTCTACCTCACTGGGCTAGGACAGGATAGAATGGAGCCGGAGAGAACCGTATATGCTGCCCTGAGCTCGGTGGAGGAAAGATGTGATAAGAATATGACAGATACACTGTTGCAGTCCCATATAACTATCACATCCTTCCTGTTCTATTCTCAGACTTTCTAAACTGCCCCCAAAATGGAAGCAGGCAATTCACAAAGCATTTTACCTCTCCTCAAGCAACACTTCCATTCCAAAACACTCACAAAAACCTAAGCACCTTACACAGTGGCCCAATGAACTCATATGCTAAGATATTTCCTACTACCTAGCCTTAAATTAGAAAAGAGAAGAAGAAGAAAAATACAGAATCTAATGGCTGCAGGATTCAGTGGTTTTCAAGAAAACCGCATGCGGGCAACTTAGAGGATATGCCAGTTCAAGTCATCTGATTTCAGTAAACTGCCTTAGATAACTGAAAGAACTCTGCCTCCAAGCCTTCATGCTACGCCTGGTCTGGCTCATTCACTGGTGGATCACAAAGGTCCATCTAACTCAATGTCTCGTTCCCATCAGTGGCTAGCCAGATGCTTCCAAGAAGCCAATCTGACATTTGTTTGTGTCCAGCATAAGGCAATCAGAGAGATATGCTGCCTCCTTACATGGAGGTACAATTCTGCACAATTGTGACTATGGACAAAGAGCAGCTCTGCCGGATCAAATCAAGGTGAAGCTATCTGACCCAGCATTCTGTGTCCAGCAAGGACCTGCTGAATGATTCAGGGAAGCACAGAAGCATGAAAAGGAAGGCAAGACCTTGCCCACCCATCCTGTTCTGTATCCCCATCAATCGGCTTTCATCAGTACAGTTGCTTCTGAATGTAAAGGTTCCATCTAGCCAACGTAGCTAAAGAAAAGATAGGGCCCAAGTAGTTAATGTTCTGGCATTATTATCTGGAAAGTGGTTGGCCAGACCAGCAGCTTTCCATTTAAAGCATGGCTGATATTTTCTCCACCCTCCACCGTTACAGGGTATACAGAGAGGTGATCACTTCAGGCATCTGAGGTAAACAAATGACTATAACCTAAGAAAGTTCACAAGTCTCTCGTTTCTGTTTTGTTCCAAGTTGCTCCCTTGGTTACACTTGGTGAAGGCTACTCTATAGAGTACTCCATTACACTGCCTCTGCATGCGGATGTTCCAACTACAATCATTCCATCTACAATCAAAGTTATGGGGTGGGAAATGTTTGAGGATATTACATCAAAATCAAAATGATTGGTTTTGATCTTCTGGAGCGTTTCATAAAAGGGTTTCCACACACATGGCACAACTTTCTCCCTACCCCACCCCCACAGTGGGAGCAGCATTTGGGGAGACATTTTGTGGTACAACAGGAAGGGGAAGCAAAAAAAGTCATATTGTGCAAAGGAACTATGACAAATCCAAGCCACTGTTTGTTTTCCCCTCTACAACATAGTGAAGAATATCTTTCAGTGGCAGCACCAAGAGGAAAAGAACAATACAAGTCGATTACAGCCTCAATGCCCTTGCCTTTAAAAAAACGGTTTTGGTTTTAAACTGCAAGGAATTATTGGGGCAGGAGAACTCATATTGGGGAAGGAATTATTTTTAAGTATTATGTTTTGGAACCATTTTTATTGATGTTACCCATCAGATTCCAACTTACAGGTGTTCTAAACAAGAACATTAAAGTAGTGAGGACAAAGTCACTAAGATACAACAGTTCCTCACACGTAAAGCTGCCTTATGAAGCTGTCAGTCCATTTGGCACAGTGACTGGCGGCAGCTCTCCAGGGTCCCAGGAAGCCTCCTTCCCAACATCCACTACTGGAGACCCTTTATCAGGAGATTTCAGGGACTGAACCTTGTGCTCTGCACATGAAAATCAAAGGCTCCATCACTAAGTCATGGACATGCTTTGTAAAGTAAATCCATTTTATGTATCCTCCTGTGTGTGAATTTATTTAGTAGCTAATTGGACATTCTTTGTCCTTCTAATGAAAGCATACAGGACCTGCATTCTTCTCACATTGTTTTTCCATGCACCCCTTCTCTCCTCCTTCCCCCCCCCCTTTTTCCTTTGGGTTGCATAAGCTTTAAGGAATCAGATCCCACTTGGACAGGTGCCTAAAGCACTACATCCACAGCTGGCAGATGAATGCATAAATGCACAAACAAGTACACAGAAACAAAATGGTAAACAGGGGAGCCAACAAGTATTTCATCAGGGAAGAAACCAAATTTTAGCAGCATGAAACAGATACCCCATTAAAAACCTTGCCCAATTAAAAGTAGAATTAGGATTGCTCAGTGTTAATATTCTTGCTTTTTATGCTTGACTGTACAGTATGTAATTGGTAAATCCTCTGACAAAGTACTTATTTGACATGTGTGTCCCTCTTCTGTCTCTGTGGTGTTGTTGTACTTCAATAAACCTTAATTTTTTTAAAAAGCTTGCCCAAATACAATTATCTTTCTGTCCAATTGGTTCTTCTCCCCTGTATGGCTCATGCATAAGTTGCCAAAGGACAAGAGCAGTTCATGAATCTGACAAAGTGAGCTCCAGTGCCTGAATGCTTCCAGGGCCCCCCTTCTTGCCTGTTATGCCTGGAACTGCCCCCCACATCCCTCACTTCCTTCAATGCTGTCATCAAAACCCTGTGAAGCCTTTGGCACAATGCTCCTCCATTCCCACACAGGAAGCTTGTCTTATACTGAGCCAGGACCTTGATCTATCAAGGTCAGTTTGACTGGCAGGTAGAAGTCCCATTACCCAATTATGTGAACTGGAAATGCTGCGTATTGAACCTCTGACCTCACATATGTGTCTTCTACATTACCAGCTATGGGATTTTTTTAAAACAGCATCACATCACTGGGCTAGCAAGGTCAGCATCATCTACTCTGACTGGCAGCACCTCTCCAAGGTCTGAAACAGAGATCTTTCACATCACCTGTTACCTGATCCTTTTAAATTAGAGATGCTAAGGATCAAAGCTGGGACCTTCTTCATGCAACGCAGATGCCCTATCACCATACCACAGCTTCAGCCCCCATTTTCCCTAGTGAAACTAATCTTAAGTACCTGTCACTGAAATGAATACTTATCTCCCCCACATATACATGCAGCTGCACCTTTCTTCAGGCCATTTTTATATTGTATGCTCAATATTCTTATACTCTGTTAAAACAGAACATGCATATTTGATAGATCTGCTACACTTCCATCTAACCCCTTCCTTGGAGGAGCTCAAGATGAAATACCAAACATTTACTTAGCTACTAATACTTCACTTATTTCTCCAGTGGGATCCCAAAGTGGCTGACAACTCCCCTCCTCCATTTTATTCTAGAAGGCAGATTACATCGAAAATGACTGGCCCAGCATCCTCCCATAACAGAGAGGGGATTCAAACCTGGGTCTCCCAGACCCTAGCCTGACACACTGAACACTACACCATGCAGGCTCTCTAAATTGTAGACCCCTCAAACGTCTTCTAAGGCCTGTAGCTCCAGAGGACTTCCTCGACTGAGCAGCTCACCAGATAAGGAGGAAACCCTGTTCTGGGAAGCCTGCCAGGCAGAAACGTCCATAGATTCTTTCCTCCACTCTCTGGCAGACCCAAAGAACAGAGGAGAGGGAAGAAAGTTAGGAAGAGAGTAAGGTTACCAAGTACTCCCTGGACACTGAAGTCAAGGGGATTGGGGGGAGGGGTAAGGTTGCCACATGGTTTGGAAACTCCTGGAGATTTGGGGATGGAGCCTGGCGAGGATAAGGGCCTCAGTGGGGGGACAGTGCCACAGAGCCCACCCTCCAAAGCCTCCATTCTCTCCAGGGGAATGGATCTCTGTAATCTGCAGGTGAGCTATAATCGTGGGGGATCCCCAGGCCCCACCTGGAAGCCGATGCTCCCTCTAATCTGTGGAGTCCTGTGAGCAAAAATTCTACTTTGTGAGCTACCAGCATTAAAGTTGTGAGCAGGCAGGTGATTTGGCTACTGCATAAATTAGTTTGCTCTGGACTGGAGCCATTCTTCCTGAGCTAAGACAAAAACGTGAGAGCCGGAGGCTAAAAGACCGTGAGCTAGCTCACACTAACTCAACTTAAAGGGAACACTGGCCTGAGGCTGGCATGCCTAGATATTACAGCGGATGCCTGCACGCTTCTTGGGGTCCAGGGAGTGGTCTGAATTTTCACCCATCCCTAGCTGAACATGCCAGTGGTCCTAGCCCCACCCCAGCCTTTACCCACTACACCGGCTCTTTAGGAAGCGACATCTCTTCCTCTGGAAAACTCATGCTGAGGGAAACTGGGTGACTACCAGTGTTCCCTCTAAGCCAGTGATGGCGAACCTTTTAGAGACCAAGTGCCCAAACTGCGATCCAAAACCCACTTATTTATTGCAAAGTGCCAACACGGCAGTTTAACCTGAATACTGAGGTTTTACTTTAGAAAAAACAACTCATACATTAACTTAAGATGATCCAAACAAAGTAAGGGAAGCAATTCCAAATGCTTTAATTTACTTAAAATTATTTGGCAGAGAATTTGACACTTTAATGATGGTCTGGGCCTGGCTGGGGCGATGGCACGCGTGCCCACAGAGAGGGCTCTGAGTGCCACCTCTGGCACCTGTGCCATAGGTTCCTGCCACCACTGCTCTAAGCTGAGTTGGTGTGAGCTAGGTCACCGTTTTTTAGCCTCTCGTCCACACCTTGTTGTCTTGGCTCAGGCAGGATGGCTCCAGAGCAAGCTGATTTATGCCGCAGCCGAACCGCTCGCTCACAGCTTTAAGGCCAGTCGCTCACAGAGTAGACTTTTTGTTCACAGGACTCCACAACTTAGAGGGAGCGTCGATTACTGCTCGTCCAGATTCCCCCCACCCACCCCCGCGGCCTGCCGCCTTGATTGACGCAAAGCTCTCCCAGGAGCCACAAGCGGGCGCGGCGTCTGGCTCGCAGGGCCCGTGTTCGCCCTCCGGGCTCGGGCCCGTCCGGAGAGAGACACGGGGAGGGCCCAGGACCCGAGGCCGGCGCTCCCCGCACCCCCAGCCCCCGCACTGACCTCTTCGTTCCTCGCCCGCTCCTCGGCGGCGGCCCCCGACCCTGCGGCTCCTCCTCCTCCGGTCCCCCCGCCGGCGGCGGCGGCGGCTGCGCCCTGCGTGGGCCCGGCGCGGCTCTCGAGGGCTTCGCAGAGCTGCTCGATGCTGACGACCTGCTCGCCGCGGCCCAGGCGTTCCTCCAGCCAGCGCACCAGGGCGCCGTGGTGGCGGGAGAGCAGCGGCTCGGCCGAGGGCGCCTCGCGCAGCCGGGCGGCCGCCTCCTCCCGCAGCCGCGCCTGGCCCAGCAACACGGCGGCCGGC